AGGTGCTTTAGACCACTGAGCCATCTCTCCAGCCCCCATGTATCAAATTATTTAGAGCAGATTACTTGTAATTATCCCAAATGAGACATAATCAAAATGTCATTTGATACGTGAACGTTTGGAGAAACTGTGGTACACCCACAGCACGGAATACTACACAGCAATAAAAGGAACAGGCTGACAATCTAAATGGTTCTCCAGAGCTCAGTGCAAAAAGCCAGAAAACCTCTAATCTTATGAAGGACCTACGATATACGATTTTGTTCATGTAACGTTTTCAAAATGGCTAAGTGCCAGGATGGAGACTAGATTAGTGGTTATTAGAGGTCAGAGGTGGTGGGGGGAGGTGCTGTGAGTACAGAGAAGGATCACAAGGGAGATTTCTAGTGATGGACCAGTGTTGTATCTCAGTCTCCATATACAATACAATACATGTGACAAGATAACATGGAACACACACACACACACACACACACACACACACACACACACACAGAGTATCCAAATCCATTCCCTAGTTTCTACTGTCACAGTCACAAAGCACGTAAGGATTTAGGGGCGCAAACACTTCTCCCTGTGCTATTTTTGGAACTGCTTGTGAATCTGTAATTATTCCAAACATTTAAAAAAAAATCTTAAAAATTCTGTTGAGTGAAGTCTAAGCAAAACTTTTTTTTTCCATTTGAGATTCTACTCATTGCATTTTGCTTTCTACTTAAATATTTCAACCTTGCTTCAATATTTTAAAAAGTGTGAGGACACCATTTTTATTATTCCTGTCTTTCTTCCCAGGTTCTTTGGCTTTCAGTGAGCTGAGGCTTTGGGCCAAACCACAGCTAAGTCCAAAAATGCAATGAAATCAAGGGATGCTGGGGCCAAGTCCTGGACTGCACTGCAGGACTCTGCAGAGCTCAGAAAAGTTCCAAAGGGGCTTTGAAAAGTGCAAGGGGCCCAACCCACAGAGGTGGTGGGCAGCCTGGAAGGCCGCTGGGGAGGGAACGACGACAGAGTTAACCTCACACTGTGCTGAGCTCCACTTCCTGCGTACAGCAAGGGACTGCAGGAACTCTGACAGGTGACTGTTGGCAGTAAAAAAGGACATGGGTATTAGCCAGGTGTGGCTGTCTCTTCGAGAGATCTGAGTCCCCGCGGTGCTAAGGGATGGTGGGGTGTAGAGCCTGGGAGGGGCCCAGGGCAGCTGAGGAGAACTCTTACCTGTAGCACCAGGTCCGAATCCTCATGTTTTCCGATTGTGGTACTTTTATTTAGGACAAAAAAGCCTTCTGCGCTCTTGAGGTAGGCTTTCATTCTCTCTGCTTCCCCTAGGCAAGGTTTCAGAAAGAACTTGGTTAGAAAAACGCAGTCCTAGGACTGGCCAAATAGCTCAGTGGATTAAAGCGCCTGCAAGCAGGTGTAGGGGCCGGGGGTTTGACACCCAGACCTGCCATACTGGCCCTGCCCCCCCAAGGTGTGCTGAGACAAAAATTGAGACTGAGCGTGGTGGTGTGTGCCTGTAATCCCAGCTCTTGGGAGGCTGTAAACAGGTGATCACTGAGTAGTCCGATCTAGTAGTGAGACCCTCAACACCCTGTAGACCCTTCTCTAAAAAGAAATACAAAAAAAAAGAAGAAAAGAAAGAAAGAAAGAAAAAACACAGTTCTCCTAATAGCCCAGCAATATCAGCTTTAGAATGAATGAAGTAACCATAGTTTAGGTCCAGAGGGAGCGGCCTGCAGAGATGGGAGGGGACAGAGGAGCCAGACATGGGCCACAACGACAAGTCCAAGTCTTTCTGAAGCCATCTTTTCTGACAGTGGCATCATGCATAAAAGAAAGCGGACCCAATCATAAAGCTTCTTAAAGAATTCAGGGCACAAATACACAAACCTAGAACATGCTAACAACAAAGTGAATGCCACTCCTGATTGCTGTCCACAAATTCCTGGGTGGAGCTGTCAGATATGCCCCGTATTCCCACTCCGTTTTCCTAACCCACTGCTTATACTAGCTCTGTGACCTTGGGTGTGTCCATTATTCTCTTTGTGTGCCTCAGTTTTCTCATCTGCAAAATGGGCTGTGATGATTCAGGCCAACAGCGCACACACAATTCTATTATTGCTGTTGTTAGGTTGGGCTTCTAGAACCCCAATCCAAGGAATCCTTCCACACAGTTCAAGATGTCAAGAGTCAGTGACTGAGCAAGTGGGCATTACCTGATACTTTCTCTTTCAATCACTGCGTTTCTCTTATATTTAGTTACACTAAAAGAGAAGATTTCTAAAGGTACAGTATGAAGATTATGGCTTGGCCATGTGATCAGAAACCCGCACATCTTTTTCCTCTATCAGTTTACTCTGAAAATGTCAAAGATGCAGAGAAACTTAAAGAAGTAGATAGTAAACGCCCACGTACCCTCCACCTCGCTTCTAGAGTCAGCATTGTGTGATATTTTCCTTGCTATCCATCTGTCCATTCATGCATCCATTTTATACAAAATTCTATACACGCTTTTAAAGACCAACCCTTCAAAAGTTCTGAAACGCTGACCCCAATTCATCTCACTGAGTTCTGATGCAGCCAAGCCCAAGTGGCATCCTCGGTCTTAATGTCACAGCAAAGAGCAATAGTCCTTTTTGCCTCTTGAACTGAAGAGTCGCTCAAATGCAAAGCTGTTGGGCTTCAGGTGGAAACAAAAAGCCTCTACCTGCGATGGTGCTGATTCCCAGAGGTTCTGCTTCCTGCGCCATCACGAACCCCTAGTGAGGGCCAGGCGTTGTGTCACGACTCTTCTACCGTGGAAGAGTCCTTGAGGTAGCTGCTATTACTGCTTTACAGGCGCAGCAGGCAACTCGGGAGACTTCCTCCAGACCCCACGTGCAGCCTCCAGCGCAGCCAGGCCGACACTTCCGGGCTGCTGCAGTCCCTGCCTGGAAGTAGCTCAGACTCTTCCCCGGTAGCTCCCTTCCGCTTTCCCCTTTTGGGTGCGTCCTACATCCAGGTAGGGAAACTCCACGTGTTTCTTTGCTGTCTGGGTTAGGCAGTGTTTCCCCGTTTTGGTCTTGGCCTGTGCCGTCACTCACGCGTCTGGGAACAGGACAGGAAGCAGCCTGAAGGGTTGGGTCCTGTTGGTCAGCTCCTACTTGATGCCACAGAGTGCCAACCACACAGGAAAGTCAAGCGAGTCGGGGGCCTGCAGCCCCTGGGGCCACAGACGGCTCAGACCTGAACTAGAGCGCAGGGGCTGAATTTCCGTGGAGGGCTCCCGGGTCTGACTGGCGCAGGAGTTCCTCGAGGTTGAAAGTGGGAAGACTGGGGAAATGGCTCAGTAGAATAAGTGCCTGCCTGGCAAGTGCAAAGTCCTGAGTTCAATCCCAGATACCCCCCCTCCTCCAAAAAAAAGGAAGACAGGAGACTCTCTCATGCCAGTGAGTGGGTGTCCTCCATAAAACAGAAGGGGGGCCCCTAATCCCAGCTGTAGTGACCTAGACCTCCTAGGGGGACTGAAGCCCAGGCAGCGGGGATCTAGGAGGATCCTGCCGCATCCTCTGGGGCAGGCCCCTTCCCTGGTCCGCCCCCTCGGCCTGGCCGGCCAGCCGCACTCACCTGGCAGGAGGAGGAAGCCTGCGCTTCGTCCTCCGCCGAGAGCCCAGCAGGCGCTCTCTGGGGGCGAGGCCTCCGGGTCCTGGGAGTCTCCAGCTCGCGGGGACGATCCTGGCGAGGCCGCCAGGCCTGTGTATGCGCGTCGCCATGGCAACGCGGCGGGGGTTGGGCCCGAGGGGCGGGGCCTGTGCGGGAGGGGGCGGGGCCTGCGCGGAGCACCTGCGAGAAGGTGGGGGCTGTTTTACCTCCCTGTACTCCCAGAGATCCGGATCTTGACTCATCCCACACACGGGGAAACTGAGGTGCAGAGGGACACCTCACAGGGGCTTTGGAGCAAGTTAAAAAAAACAGTAAAGAGGGAGTCGGAGAGGGATGCAAGTCTCCGTGCTGAGGAAAACCTGCCGCCAAACCCACAGCCCTACTGGCCCGCCTTCACTGTTAAAATGGGCCTTTATTCATTCTTTCAATCTTTCTTTTTCTTTTCTTTCTTTCTTTTTTTTCTTTTCTTTTCTTTTTTTTTTTTTTTGGAGAACTGGGGATTGAACTCAGGCCTTTGCGCTTGCCAGGGAAGCGCTTATTCCACTGAGCCATCTCCCCAGCCCCCAATCTTTCTTTTTCTTTGCAAACATCCTCTGTTCCTGTAAGTTCAGACTATGGTCTCAGAATCAGCTAGATCAGCTGCTGTCCTCAAGAAAGTCCTGCCTTTGGGTTGGGAGGAAGAGGGGTGCTGATATGAATAGCAAATCCACGCTCCCAGGTCCCCATCTGCCCCACCTTGGCAGACCTGGCTCTTCTGCCTGGGGGTGGACAGCAGCGGGACTGTCACTGTAAAACCTCGTGTCACAGGCAGGTGATGGGGGGCGGTCCTGAGAAAGCCTCAGGAGGCTTTTGTGAGAGAAACGAACTGTGACGGACCTGACCTGTGGCAACCAGACTGCCACACAGGAGAGACTCACGGAAACAGAACTGGGGTGCACCAGGACAGCGGGGGCTCCAGGCAGCCGCTGCTCCAGCTCCACTTGCCTCCTCTAGCACTACTCCTGTGCTTGTTTGTAGCAAATTCTCCTCACCGACATATGCCCAGAACCAGTCTTGCTCACTTCCAGACAGACCCAAGGAGCCCAGCTGGCCAAGAGCTGGAACAGCCTTCTGGCCCTGCCAGGCTTTGCACAGCCCCGTGAAGCCCTTAACTGATCACTCAAAGATAAACACAGAGGGGCTGGTGAGATGGCTCAGTGGTCTAAAGCACCTACTTAGAACAAGCTTAGCAAAGCACAGGGACCACATGCCAGCCAGCCCCGCCCCCTGGTGGGATGAGCTGGCCACACACACACACACATAAATAAAAATAAAAAAATAATTAAAAAAAAAAAAAACCGCAGAGCTGAGATTGAGATCCAGGGGAGTAGAAACTGCCCAAGCCTGATTGACCAACAGGGTGCCCCACTGTATTCTGGGTGTGTCAGACTTTCCAAACCCAAGTCCTTGCAATCTGCGTTTGTGTAGGAAACAAAACAGAACACTCCACGACAGGGTTTTGTGATATTGCTTTCTGGGCTGAGAGAGTTCCACTTTGCTCTACATAATGATGGTATATTAAAAATACTGCTCAGAAGAAAAAATAGTTTAGTTGATTTGGGCTCCTTGGAGGTGCTTGTAACGAGTCTGCTTTCTTGAGCTCATGTGACGTCACCAAGGCCACAACGTGGGGTGGGTAGGGTCAGAGAGGCTGGTATCTGAAAAGCTGGGTTCCCACCCTGTCTCCTTATTCCTGCTGTCCCCACACTGTCCCAGTGACAGTAGTTGGGCTTCCTACTTGGGGGCCCCGGCTTCACCCACCCCTCACACGGACCCTCTCATTTAATCTTCACTGTAACTGTGCACCCAGAATGGTGACCTGACCGTAATTTCTGTGAAGTAATCACCCCTCTTTGCAGAGAAAATGAGGCACAGAGAGGCAGGAGAAGATACCAGAAGTCACACCAGTTAGCAAATCTGGCTGGATTTGAATCTGCAGACTATTCTCCATCTTAATGATTTTTTTTTTTTTTTTTGACTTCAGGATGGTGTGAAAGTGATAATGCATTCAGGAGAAATCTACTTCAAGCTTTGGCAGCCAGGCAGGACCCAGGCTGGTAATGGGATACGTGGTGCGATGCTCTCTGTCTCTCTGCATCTCTGTCTTTGTTTCTTTGCAGTACTGGGGATCAAACCCAGGGCCTGTGTGTGCTAGGCAAGCACTCTGTCACTAAGCTGCACCCTCAGCCCTGATGTTGTCTTGATGCCAGGCAGTAGCAGTGGGCCACAACTCCCAGTCCAACCCATGGTCAGAAGGAGGATCAGCTGGTTCTGTCCGGTGGCCTGTTAGGAGCCAGGCCACACAGCAGAAGGTGAGCGGAGGGAGAGGAAGCAAATTTCGTCTGTGTTTACAGCCCCTCGCCGTAGCTCACCTCGCATCCTGAGCTCCACCTCCTGCCAGATCAGTGGCCAAATTAGACTCTCATAGGAGCTTGAACCTTTCTGGGAACTGCAGGTAAGGGGTGTAGGTGGTGCTCTCCTTATGAAAATCTAAAGTAATAATCATAGAAATAAAGTGCAATATGTGTAATACACTTGAATCACCACAACCCCTCCCCACCTCCACACCAGTCAGTGGAAAAATTGTCCTCCATTAAAAAGAGGTGGGGCGGGGGCCCTGCCCCTTAGCTCAGTTCTTTAAGTGGCTGCTTCAACCAAGCAGTCAGGCTCAGGTTGCTGTGGTTCGAT